TGCTTGTATGATTCATTTTACTTTCCGTTATGTACTGAAGACAGGAAACCGTGGTTATATAGACCCTAAAGGTGTCGGGCTCATACATATATGTATATATGTTTGGAAACAAAAAAAAAAGGTACTTTTCAAAATTGTGTACGGCACCCTAAATAATAGGTTGCCGTAAGTAGGACCCCAAAAGGACCATAATTTTGACAACCACCCATAATACATACATAAATGAATATGTTTGTTGAATTGCCCTGTAGCCCAAGAACACCACACAATCAAGTTATCACTCGTCCTGGAGACAGTCGGAAGGAGTTCCAAGTATCCGTCACTGCAACCCTCATGCTCTTTGACTTTGCTTTTGCTTCGGCCCATGCCGACTTCGTGGCGCATCACCTCGCGTGACTTGCCGTGTTTGGACCGACGCCGGCGGACTGACGTTTGGAGCTAGCTCGCCTGGCTGAAAATGCAAGGAAAGGAAGCAAGCTGCACTTAAGCGAACAGAGACGATGTCACCTCCTGGCTGTGACATAGCACTTCAGCATTCTAAACTGACTTGCAGTTTGGTGTGGCCTTGTGGCGCCAGGAACGTGCAAGAATGTTTAGAAGAGTGCGAATCTTCAACTTTTCTTTCGCAGAGACAGCGCTTTCAAAAAAAAGATCTTCGTGCCAAACTCTTGCGAGTGTCAGCAGCCTTTGTCTAGCCCTGAAATCCACCACCAGGCGCAACATGTACTTCACACATGCATCGCACGCTCTCACAACTTGATTCGCGACTGGTTTTTGGTGGACTGTCGACTGACACCAATGAATCGGACTTGCGTCCGTTGCTTGCGAAGCTGCGGACTTGTCGGTGAGATCTGCTGGAGTCTGTCTCTGTTCTGGAAGAAGTTTGAGCAAGAGCGTGCGTTTGGGAAGCGAAAATCGCGTCCACTGTAAAGAGTAATGTCAGTGGAAAGCTCTGATAGAGGGCTGGCAGTGCATTCTTGGAGCCTTTAGAAGTGACAACACTCTGGAACAAGCTTTGTGAGTCAGCGACTTCTTCCATGCCCAGATGCTGGTGCAGAGACTAGATTCTTTTGGACAGAACGAAGTTCGTCTTATTGCATGATTTTGCACTCTTTGCAGGGCTACTTTCCAACTGAAAGGCGGACTTGCAGAAGACTCGGCAAAGCAGCTGGAGGAGGAGACTGTTCCATGCAACTTCTGCAGTTCTGAAGGTCTTTGCCTGGACAAAACTGGGTTTAAGCTGTGTGCGAAGCCAGCTTAAAACCTGAACAGACCACATTGGCCGGATACTCCAAACTGGGCTTAGGGGAATCCGAAACCCACGTTTGGACTCCATGTCCGAACGGCTCCGAACGCGCTTGTCAGAAACCGTGAAGATGACATTCGCGTTCCATATGCTTCGACACAAACTAGATGTGCATAGAAAGTCTAGTGTGTGTGTCATGTGTCTGTCTTTTTTTTTTTTGGTATGGCTAGCCTGACACCAGTCAGAAGCACTGAAAAAGCTTTGAAATTCCAAAGTGCTCCAAACGACAGAAACCTCGGAAACATACAGCTGAAGTGAAGAAAAACACAAAGGCATGTGGGGTCACGGTCTATGTGCATGGATGTATGTGTGAGAGGCCATGTCCACGCTTTGGCTGGAACGGCAGGCGCCGCTCTGAGAAGTGCGCCAGGGCAGAAAATCGCCGAAAGTCAAATTGCTTCTCTCTCCCAGCGTTGCACCGTCCTGGTCTCCGTTTTGCCATCTCCTGCGGCCCGGCCTTCTCGGGGTTTGCCCACTCTTTCAGTCCTGTTATTTCGAATGTTCCCGAAGCCTCATTTTGGGTCTGCAAGATTCACTGCTATCTCCTCCTTTACCTCAAACTTGAGTTCAGCAGCAGAGCCCCGCAGATGAGCTAGTTTGAACCAACGAGACTTTCGTGCCAAGCAAAGCGGCAAAAAGTGATCGGCACTGCAGCTCTGCTCTTGTCACCTCTTGCAGCAGATGAGGATAAGATGCATGTATGCAAGTAAGCAAACAAGCAGGTAAGTTAATAAGCAAGTGTGTATGGTCGGCCTGTCTGCCTGCACGCCTGTCTGTTTGTCTGTACCTACCTACATACTATCTATCTATCTATCTATCCATCTGTCTGTCCATCTATCTGTCCGTCTGTCTATCTATCTGTCCGGCTGTCGGCTAATTATCATCTATCTAACTATCTGTCTGTCTGTCTATCTATCCATCCATCCATCTACCAATCTATCTATCTATCTGTCTATCTATCTATCTATCTATCTATCTACCTATCTATCAATCTATCTATCTACTTATCTATCTACCTATCTACCTACCTATCCATCTATCTATCCATCTATATATCCATCTATCTATCTATCTATCTATCTATCTATCTATCTATCTATCTGTCTTGCATACATATTTATCCATTAATCCATGCATCATGCATCGATCGACCCATTTATCCATCCATCCATCGATCCATCCATCTCTCCATCCATGCATGCATGCCTGCGTGCCTGCCTGCAGGCATGCATGCATGCATGCATGTATGCATACATGCATACACGCGCACGCACACGTACATGCACGTGCCCGCACTGAAGCATTGCCTGTAATGTCACAGTCACGAAAGGCAAGGTGCACATGCGAACAGCCGGCTGAAGAAGCAGACGTATGCTTTCTCGTACAGATACAATGCGCAGAAGAAGGCCGCCCGCTTGGTACAGCTGGGGGCGTGTCTCGGGAAGCTGAGGAGCCGGGACAGCGCTGGTATCGTGGAAAGCACTGGGCTCGTCGTGTTCGCAGCTACTACGGGCCGAAGGCCGGGCGCTGCTTTGCCTTTGTGGAGGGCTTTTATCACTTTCCCTAGTCTGCTATAGTATATGTCATAGAATATTGTAGTATATATTATGGTAGAATATAGTATATATCTTTGTATATCTTATAGTTTCTATTATAGTATATATTATAGTATGCCATAGTGGTAGTAGCAGAGTAGAGCAGGCCCTTCGTGTACTTTTTCGGCAGCTCTGGATGCACGCAGGCAGCCGCGGCAGAGACCTCCGCAGCGCCGAGCACCACTGCGACTACTACAACTGCGGTCACTCGGCTCGCGTGGAAGAGAGCAGGGTTTAAACATGTTTGGGACGTCCTTGATGGCTTCTCTCGAGGTTGATGTCGTATCGGGGCGAGCACAGAGCCCAAGTCTTCGGTGCTGCTTGAGAGTTGTGTTTTGACAAATTCCTTTGGTTCCTGACGGTGTGCGAAGTCACATTGAACGAATCGAATAAGCAGCACAGCACAACGCCACCTCGGCTGTTTCCTGCAACCTGGTGCAGGTGCAACCTTTCTGGATCATGGCCAGTGCCGGCCAGACTTGCAATTCGGCTTGCAGTGCCTTCGACACGGCAGATGACAGTTTCGAGTGCGGAAAGGATGAGATGGGTGCCATCAACTCCTCACAGGCAATCTCCGATCTGCTCGTGAGCCTCAACGGTACGTGCGACTTTGCAGATAACCCCCCCCTCTACAGGAGCAATGCAGGATCTCCGTTCATCCTTGTGAACGGTGACTGCTACTACTGGGACGAAAACAAGCCGCCTGCGTCTATTGACTGCGACACGTCTCCGTCCAATAGCGCCCGCAAGCCTTTGTGCTACTGCAAGCCTGTTTCTCGGTGGCACAGAGCCGTTGTGCTGGCCTCGCGATAAGTGTGAAACCAGTTTGCTTTGCGCTTCCTGTCTCAGGTTGAGCCAGCACCTTGACGGCAGTTGGGTTTGGTTGTCTGTCTGTCTGTGTGTGGCATCGAGCAGCACGGCTGAGCCGTGTGGCTTTAGTAACTTTAGTAGAGCATGTGTTCTTGCCAGAGCAAGGCGGATCCAGATGGGGGGTGGTTCACAGGTGCCACAAAAAACATAGCATGCGACACGGTTTGCAATGACAACGGCTATGCAGAGTGTGGAGAGGAAGAGATGGCCGCAATCAACAATACACAGGCAATCGTGGCTTTGGCATGGGAGCTCGGCATCGTCTGCACCGTCAACTCCGGCGACCCCTCCCGAAGCAATGCGGGGACTCCGTTCTTATCTGGGAACACATGTTACTACTGGGATCCGAACGCAGCGGCTTCACAGGTGGACTGCAGCTCCGTGAACAGCGCCAACCGCAGGCCGTTTTGCTTTTGCAAGACCTTGCTATCAGGATACAACTAAGTGCGACCCTCGTGGCTTCTGTGCTTCTGTGCTTCTGCAAAGACCCGGCATCAAAGCAGGCTGCATGCTTGATGGCTCTGGGGAGCAGGAGCGATTTTATGCTTGCCTTCAAAGCAGGCATTGTTTAAGTGCAGTTTTGTTATCCGGGCAACGCGACCTGAAGGAAGACCCAACCTGCGAGGAAAAGATTCCTGAGAAAAGTTGCATGGGGTCTTTAGCCAACCCAGTGCCGGTCCACTTCCATAGAAGATTCCTTGCGATGTCCACAGTTCATCATGTCGTGCAGCAGGTCTTCCAGCACATGCACGGAATTGCTTTAGTCTACAGCTCATGCTTTACAGTCCACATTTCGGGAATGCTTGATGAAGGGATCTTTGTATGTGGAACGTACGCTCATGCAAGTGGACGCTGAGAAGCATCGACGTATCCGCACCGACTGTTGACATGGCCATGGCGTCGACGACTCGCAGGCCTCGTTTTGAAGAAGCCTCCACTTAAGCCGGCCCGGTCACTTCGTCACTCCCCAAAGCTGTTTCACTTCGCCACAGGAAACCTACAAACGGCGCTTCGGCAATTCGGGGATCCTGTTTGGGGATCCCGAAAAGAACGATCCGATTCCAGCTCCGAAATCATGCTCTCACTCACTCGCTCGCTCTCTTTCTCTCTCTCTCTCTTTATCTCGTTCGTTGCATGAATATATATATATATATATAGAAAAATCTGTTCGTGTCACATACATGCCCACCTGCCTACCTGCCTACCTGCAGAGCTACCTGACGGTTCACTGGAGGAAGCACGTGGTGCTGTTCCTGGCATTCGCTGCCAGCGTGCTTCGGATGCACAGTTGTTGTTTTAGTCTTCAAGAGTTGGTTGTTTGAATTTGGGGATGCCATGTTCAACATAATGGCTGACAGTTGCGGTAGAACTCTGCTAGCTTATGAGCTGAGCAATCCAGCATATGCGTACCAGAAATGACTCTTTTGTGATAGCGGCAACAGTGAATCCTCAGACACAGGCATCAATGGTACTGTGGAGTCAAAAACCGTGTTTGCATGTTTGTCAGTCTCAATCGAAGCAGTCGTCAGAGTCATAATCATAGAGGCTCAACCTGATGTTTGCTTCCGCGTGGTCGCCGCCAGCAGTATCGTCGTCTTCCCCGTCCTTAGCATCCGCATCTTCTGCATCAGCTGCTACCGCTGCCTGCTACATCCTGCTGCTATTGCGACTGCTGCCACTACTCGCACCATTGCCACTACTGGTACTGCTGCTGCTACTGCTGCTGCTGCTGCTGCTGCTGCCGCTATGTGAATGCTGCCTCTGCCACGACAAAGAACCACTACCACTAACATGCTACGCCCACCGTTGCTGGTCCTGCGACCACTGATGCCACAAGCTCTGCTGCAATTGTCGCAGCTCCCACTTCAAGGTCAATGTCTGACTGCTCCTGTAGGGTTCTAGAAGTATCGTCGACCCTTTGTGTACCACAGGTCCGTGTCCAGGTAATTAGTCAGTCTTTGCCGGTTCATGCAGTCCCAAACACCGAGCCCTCGATTCATGAATCCGTAGATTCATAGCAGGATTTGAGCGTTGAGGGTTTTGCTCCTTAAACTAGATCTGCTATTCGACCCCGTCGTGTTCACCCAATATTATCAGATATTGTCAGGTCGGCCACCCTTGATTTTATCAACCCATATAACACATTGTAACCCTAATGAAACCCTTTTCACAGGTCGCTGTGATGCTGGCTCCACCGCTGGCTGCCGTCACTGCGGGTTCGGCCCCTGCAGCAGGTACGGCGAGCTTTGTTTTTCATTTTATGTATTTTTCGCAGCGTTTTAGAGTTTAGGGATCAGGAATTTAGCTCAATTTAGCGTTGTTATTTTTTGTGAAATTGCATTACTATTCTGCTGTTCTCAACAGCATTGTTGCCATTACTAATAGCTTTTGGCGTTCTTTGAAATTTTTCTAGGTCTTCAGCCTCTGATTGTTCTATGATGGCGGGATATGTTACATGTTTGCCGGTAAGGTATAGGGAAGCATTGGAGCTTCTTCGGTGGATGTGGGTCAGCAGAGTGCTGTTTGTACTCAGGTCATCTTCCGTGGGCTTAGGGTTGAGTGTTGTGGGCTACAGGGTTAGGGTTGAACGAGAATCCTGGAGAGACTCAAACCAAGTTTCAAGAACGGGGATACACAGACTTTTTCATCTCTCGCTATTAGGATAGCTTAACCTATGTTTCGTCGTTCCCTATGAAGCACTTTCAAAGCCCTCATAAAAGCCTCTGAGAGCCCTTTTAAAACCCTGATAAGCTTACCTCAGTTCACAAAAATTTCGTAAGTCTTTGCCTATCACGCCGTCATCTTCTGTGTCTGTGTTGTTTTGTGTATTGAAGTTAGGAGCTAGTGTGTAGGGGGTTTGGGAATTTGACACTATTTTTCTTTAAGTTTAGGCCAACTCGTGAATATTAAATACTAGGAGCCCGAATAATCAGTATGACCATTCCCTCTTCTTCCTTGTTTCAACTGTACCATACAACTCCCTAGCACCTTTCTATCGGTTCACGAACTACCCCCTGCTCCCTGAGCTCCAAAGCCCTGACTAGGTTTAAACATCGAGAGAAGCAAACCCTTAACCGCTAAACCCGTAAGTCCAACATCCACAAGCCCGATACTCACAGGCCACCCAGCGGAAACATTCCTTATTTCCTTGGTTGTTGAGTTTCTGGTCTCCAGTCCGCTCAGAGGCCCGAGCGGCGCTTCCGTGAACATGGGAGCTCTGACGCTTTGCGTCGCTTCGGCGTAAAGTTCCAGGTTTTGGGGCTTTGGGGTCGAGCGCGTCGGGATTTGGGCCCTGGACCTGCCGCGGGTGGAAGCCTTCAAGGCTCATGTTCGTTAAAGCTTATTTTATAGATCAGGGATGCCCCAAACCCTGAACCCTGATAGACCCTGAACGCTGATCCCTGAACCCGCAAAGATTTTCCGATGAGCGGTTAGGACCCTAAGCTCCTAAACCCGAAACATTTCGGGTGTATCCTCTACCTGAGCTGACTTGGTGTTGTCTTGCAGCCGAAGTGGAAGAGTTCTTGCCTTACTGCCTTACTGACAAAACGAGCTTCTTCTGAACAAATGTTTCGTGTTTGGTTGGCTTAGTGATGTGGTGTCAGAGGATTTTATGTCCAGGTTCAGGGTTTAGGGCCAGGACGAGTTCATGATGAGGCATCCCTAACAAACACGAAGAGCTGAGCTACGAAAAGAAATCCCCAGAGGATGTGCGAAAGTAGGCATTCTGAGGACGGTCATATGGAATTTCACTTGCTGATTGTGGGAACTACTGGCAGTTATCAAGTCCTGTTGGAAGCAGGCAAAGCATCGTAACATGCCTGCCTCAGGCGGTCATGGGCGCCTACTACGTGCTCTGTTGGCATGATGCAAAGGCGTGGCATGAACAGAGCCGGGGCGCTTCGTCCCGAGCCTTCTAGCTTCGGGTTGAAGACGACTTGGTTCAGTGTCTGCAAACAACTCTGAAAATCCTGTCCCCTGACACTTTGCCCCCGACCTAAGCCCGCAACCACAGGTGGCGGGCGCCCGTGAGGCTAAAGAAGCCGAGGACAGCCATTGGTTTGGCTTGGGATCTGCTTCTTAGAGACTCCAATATCCCTCATGGCACCGAAGATCTGTGAAGACCTTTTGTAACAACCTTTGTAAATCTTTAAATGGGGTTCTGGAACCCGTAAAGAAACGGCCCCATGCTCTGCTTCCTTGCCGTCGTTCTCCTCAGTGAAAGGTGGTTCAGGGTACGATGGGTAAGCGAAGCCATAGTCATCCCAAGGTAGGTTGTCCGAAGTGTACATCAGCACAACTTCACTGATACCTTAGCTCCTAAGTCCGGTGATCTGTGATGTGGGTCCTCGGACAGAACGACGGCGATGATGCTCTGTCGCTGATGTAAGCCTGAACTCCATGGCCGACACGTTCAGCCCTTCACTCCAAAACCCAAGCCCGCCTAAAACCCCCAGTCCTGAGTGCTCAATCCTCCGTCCTACGTCTGAACCCTAAACCCCAGACCTCAAACAAAAAACCTGAAATCCGAAACCCTCACCCTCAACCCTTTGCCATAAAGCCTAAACCCCAGACCTCAAACACAAAACTCTCAATTCCGACACCCTAAAGGCCTCACTTTTTGAACAAACAGACGCTACAAGCGGAGGACACGGCAAGCGAAGCAAAGAAGAAGCCTCGCATCGGTGCGCTGGACAGCCTCAGGCGCTCCGCTCTCCTCGGTTCCGCTTTATTTTTTTCGATTTTGTTGTTGTTGTTGTTGTTGTTGTTGCATAGTGTTTTATTGGGTGTGCAATGAACTAGCGTTCCATTGCAGATTTCGTTTTGAGGTGACTCCAGTTTCGTGTTGTGGATCTAGGGGCTTAGAGAAGGGGTCTTGTCTTCGACGTGGGGCCCTAAACCCGGAACCCCTTTCGGATGTAGTATTTTCAAAAGGCACTCCTTGGCAGTCGGAGCCGCCTGAAGGAGGCTCAAGGTACATCGAAGCCAAGCATATTTTGCGGGGATCGGAATAACTAGTAATAGCGTCCCCTTACGGTCCCCATATAAACAAGTATGCTATAACATATCGCAAAACTCCATTCTATCAGCTAAGACCCCTGCAGGGCCCAGCATTATAGCGCTTTTTTCTCTTAGCCAAAGAACCGCCAGAAGAGAGCGTTGCCTGGAAAGCTGGTAGCCAAATGTGTCCTCATGCCGTTCAAGAAGGGGTTTGGATTCTTTTCGTCTCAGCTTTAAGGTTGTGGGGTGTGGGAGTTGCTTCTCGGGGGCCCTGCTTCGGATGACGGAATAAAAGTCTTAGGGGTCTTGGGTCTTGAAAGGGTGGGTGTAGGGCCGGCTGTAGTTTTGTAGCTTCAAGATCACAACTGTCTGTAAACCCTTCCGATTTCGTATACTCTCCAAAGGATCTAGGGCCGAGCAGGTTCATTCTGATTGCTTACATCGCCTCCGGCCACTTCATCCACACGGCAACGCGGAATCCCTTCCTGCTGAGGCTCATCTCGCAGGAGCGGAGCCCGGGTAGTGGCCGTTAGGGTTGGCATTTCGACATCCAGGGTTTGGTGGCTAGTCATTACTCTTTTCTTGTTGTTCGTACTCCACTCATCACCATCATCACCCTCCGCCTTAGCAGCAAGTAGGTGTAGTCGTAGTCTCAGCAGCAGTCGCTGTCACAATCGTAGTCGTCGTCGACGTCGTCGTTTAGCCGTCGTCGTCAAGTCGTATAGCCGTGTAGTCGTAGTCATGATCGCAGTAGTAGTGGCAGTAGTGGTAGTCGTCGTCGTCGTCATCGTAGCAGCAGTAGAAGTAGTAGCAGCAGCAGCGGCGGCAGCAGCAGCAGCAGTAGCAGTAGCCGTAGCCGCCGCCAGCTTGCTCCCGCACATCCCTTAACTTAAAATGGTTGGCTGGCAGAGGACCCTTCTAGGAACAAGAGCAGTAGTTGTAGTCTCAACCGTCCAACTATTTGAAGATATTTCTTTTGCTCAAAAGCAGGGCCTCAGTTGACAACACAACATACAGTCGTCTGCACAGCAACTGCGCTGGGAGAGGTCTAGGACTATGCGTAGTGAAAATCCAAGAGGCTTCGTGAACATTCAAGGCTCGCATGAGCTAGTTCTTCAAATCTCAGTGCAGTGCTTGAAACTTCCCCGATGCTGTACCAGGGATCAAGGTCTTTGGTGTGGAGCATCCACTGAAACAGGCGCTGTTCTCTATGAGCACAAGCAATCGCAATAGCCGTAGCAGGAACAGCAGTAAGTGTGTGGTAGGCGCCAGCATGCACTGGTAGCAGCAGTAGTAGGGTAGCATTGGCAGTGGTAGTGGTAGTGGAAGTGGTAGAGCCAGTGATGGGGTCATGCTCGTGCTGGCGGCAGCAGCAGCAGCAGCACTACGTACTAGTAGTAGAAGTTGCGTAGCAATATAACAGTAGCCTTAGTGTTTTGTCTGTGTAGGCACGGTATCATCACCCCCACCCCTTCCCACCACAAGCAAACTCCTGCTAGTAGTAGTGTAGTAGTGTAGTAGT